TTTAAATTTTTCAAAGAATAATTATAAGACCTCACCATAAGTAATGGGAGGTAATCTTGTAATTTACTTTTACAAAGAGATTATTTTATAAATAATTATTGTAAACATAGAAAATAATAACAAATAGATAATAAATTTTTTATGAATTAAAAAAGGTAAATACCTAAGGTTTCATAAATTAAAATATAGGATGTAAAGAATAATAAATATTTTAAACCTTGTAGATTAAAATATAATATCATAAAAATTAAATAAAAAATAAAAATACTCTAACGATGAAATCTCAAGAAAGTTGTAAGTAATAATTTCAAGAGAATTTATAAGTGAGAAAATCTTTTAAAATTTTGCCAAAAGTATTAGAAAATTTTAGAAAATTTTCAATACAAGGATTTGCATGATCATAATAATAACAAAATAACAAAAATAATAAAAGTGAAATAAAAAAACCATAAATAAGTAAAAGATCTCCTATGATCAAATTTTGAGAAGCTTATAAGTAATAATTTCAAAAAAATTTCTAAGCGAGAAATTTTTCTTAATTTCTACCATTAATATTGGAGTATTCAAGAAACATTTTGATATGAAAGAAATTTTTTTTTGTAAAATGATAAAATAAAATAAAAAATAAAAAAATAATTAAGAAAAATAAAATTAGATATCAAATTTAAAATTGATTTATTAAGACAAAAAAGATAACATATAATTAATTAGGTATTATATTAAGTGAGCGTCGTGAAGGTGCTAACACCTTCCTCGTATATAATTGTACTTTCGAAACTAGCTTGTTTCATAAATCAAAACCTTTCATTTTAAATAAACCTAAATCAAGCTTAGAACCTTATTAAAATGTACAAATTCATTTAGGTGACCACTCAAACAAAATGTTTAATAACAACTCTTCTTTCAAATCGAAAGTTGAGTTTAAAGACTCACATGTTATGAAATGTATTATACTTTAAAATTTTAAATCAAGCAAGCCAGCAAATTTGGTTACAAAAAGCTTTTTTAGGCATGTGAATCCTATTCACGACAGCAACAGCCAATTAAACATAACACTGTGTAGACACTAATTTTTAATTATGGGTAATTAATATTATGGGTGCTTTCCCTCCTTATATATGTGCTTTTATTTTATTTTACTTTCTTTCATTCTTAGCCAAATTCATGTAGATGGCCAGTGGGCTTTAGGCAATCCAAATTTTGTTTTGAGGCACTTGACTTAATAGAAAGAAGCCCAAATAGTTAAAATTGAAGCAAAATAGATCAAACTAAACAACAAGATTAAAACTGATAATCAAGGATTAAAACTAAATGAAACTAAAAAAAACCAAAAGAACAAAAAATGAATAAAATAAAAATGGAAAAAGAGGCTAGCTGGGGGCATACGATAGGGTGCGTTTTGCACCTTACCAAGCACAATCGTGCCTTGCCAAACGTGAAAAATCTGCATTTGGCAAAAGCCTTACGATGCTGGGGATGGCATAGGTGGCCGCATCCCTAGCATTGAAGGGCAATTATAAAATTGTCCTTCTCCTAAATCAAAAAAAGGTGGTAAAAAAAAGTCCAATCTTCAAAAAAAAATCCCTAACATAGCCGAAACCTTATTTTGAAAACCCTATCTTCTTCTACTACCAACTGGTGAAATACCACAATAAAAAAAATAAAAAATATATAGAGAAATATGAACTATGAACTAGTGACTTGTGCAACACTAAGGTTGACTGGGTTGTCAAAAGTTATGAATAAGATTGTGATGCATATTCGAGAATAGTTTGTATATGATAATGACTTATTAGAGGATTATTTGTGTTTAACACATTTGATGAGTGGAAGCATACATGAATTGATGTTGAATTGGCTAAGCATGTGAGGCTTATTAAGCCATGATTATTTGATGTGAATGGTATATATGTGGTGTTAATGGCATGATGGCCTTGAATGTGGATATATGTTTCGTCTAATGTTTATGAAATTCCAGACGTGATTTGTTTGTGGTTAAGTGGAGTCTTTCCCTTCTGACTATATTCTCCATTAGTTTTTTTCACAGTGAGTGTGATTTGACTCTCTATTAGTTGTTTCAGCACTGAGAATGATTTGATCTTTTATCGATTGTTTTGGCACTGTACGTAATTTGACTCTGCGTCAATTGCTTCGGCACTAAGTGTGATTTAACTCTTCGCTAATTACTTCAACATTGAGCGTGATTTGACTCTCTGCTAGTTACTTCAATACCGTGTGTGAGATTTGATTCTCTGTTAGTTACTTTGATACTATGCGTGATTTGATTTCGTTGATTGGCCATTGTATGTTTATTTGATTACGTCCAAGGAAGACCACTAATTGATTTTGTTTCGAATGAGATGCTATAATTTTCTTAATAGCATGCTATCGTAAATAATCTCTATGATTATTGATGTTTGAATGAGATGTGATCAATCTTCGATGGAAAGTATGAGGTAAGCAAAAATATGCTTGGTTTCACATATTGTGCTCTGGCAAACAATAGGATGCCCAATGAACTTAACGACTTTTGAGGCAAGCCCTAAATTGATCTATACTACTTATGGAGATATAGATGTCTTGGTTATAGTTAATAAAAATGCCATTTGAATGATAATCACGGTGAGTCTTGGTATGTCGAGATGTGTGTGTATATTATGATGATTCTTGCACGCCTCATGTGTTGGAGATGTCTAGCTTGTAATTATCATTGCCTTATGAATTTGTTTTATTATATGTCTTTGCACAATTTACTTTGATTTCTTTTGGCTCTCACTCACTGAGTATATGGATGGCTCACCTTAATTAATTGTTGCCTTATGCAAATAATAAACTATGAGAATTTGAATGGTTAACATCGTCTTTTAGATAGACATTTGGCATCTAGTAGGCATTCCACACTTGATGAGTCCACTTCATTGAGTTCGAATGTCTACTATCTTCTGCTTTTGTTTATGGTTTTTGAATTATGTTATATTTTGGAATATGTTGGCACTGCATTGCCATTATTTTGTTTAAAGGTTGTATGAGATGAACTTACTTTGTTAGCCAATGTATGGCTCTTCGAACATTGTGAAATATTGTTGTGTCAATTATGCCAAGGGGCAATGTTTACAAACTTCGAAGTTATGTTATGAAATGAACATGTGATGGTTATATAAACCTATGGATTTTATGTATTGCATTTGACTTGGTTTGTCAATTTTTGAGGCTTGTTCGAGTCTTGTAGGCTTCGCTCATTGGACTTATGCGTCGGTCACAGTCCTTTGACTTGGATTGTGATAATAGGTATCTCATACACTAGGTCCACTTATTTGTTTTAAGATCGCTGCTTCAATGGTGAAATTAAAACTTTTATCATTTAATAAAAGCCTAATAAATGGTACGTTTTAAACAATTTGTCAAATTTATAGGTTAGAATAGTTTTGGTAAATAATTTGTTGACAACATCAAAGTCATATAGATACTAAATAAAATATATTAATCACTTAAGTTTAAGAACAATTAATAAATTGTAATAGAGCTCTTTCTAATTATTGACAGCTATAAGTTTATAGTACTTTTTAAGATCTAATTCAATATATGTATATCATATATTACATTGCATAACAAGTGTAAGCTTTTAACATTTTATCACATTATAACCTAGAACAATTTTGATAAATAAAGAATTGAAAAGCTATAACTTCCCAATTTAATAGTTTATCAACAATTAGTATAGATTTTCTACAATATTACCATATAATTTACTATGAGATCATAAATGAATAAAATATTTATTAAAATAAAAATATATGTAAAACAATAATTAATATAAAACAATGTGCTTATCCAATAAATAAATAATAAAATTATTTTTTACTCCATATATCCAACAGTTGCAACATTAGAAGATGTTGTGCAACATTCATGAAAGAAGGCGTATATGAATTCTGGAGCTTTTCAGTAGTCTGTTTTGCGGCTTCAACAAGTTGGGTTCACCATTTTTGAGAGGTTTACTCGAGTTCCTGCGTGGGAGTGGCGCACGCATTCGGCACCCCAGAGCAAACGTGGGTCATCATGATTTGCTAGAAGAAGTGGACTCCGTTCCATTTACAGGTTTTGAGTTCCATTTAGTAATATTGAAAAGATTTTTTGAAGTAATAAGATTTCAGTTTTTTTATTTATTTAGAAGGTGAAAACTTTTAAAAATATAAAATGTTTTAGGGGTAAATGAAAAAAATTGTATCGAACAATATAAAATGTATTATGGAATCAATCTCAGTTAGAAACTATTGCCTTCCCCTAGTGAGATTGATCCCGTAAACTAATAAAATAACAAATATAATTATTTTCCTCTTTTCAACTTTTTCTTATTATTCTTTTTTTCAACAATTTTTTATTCAATTATTTTATAGGGATCATATCATTATAATTATTGTTATTAAGATATTACAATCTTCAATATAATACAAAAATAACTAAGATCAATTAAAGAAAAAATTTATATCACAATAGAAAATAAGTTTTTCGCATATAAAATTTTTTCTTTTTTTGTGATTCCTAGTTTATGATTTATTAACTTAACAAATTAACTAGTATAATAATATAACGAGAAATAAATAAGTAAAAAGAGTTAAATATTAATTATATATAATATTAGATTAATATTTTTATGGTGTTATGATAAAAATGATTGAAGATAGGTCATGATAAAAATATTATTTATAAGATTATTCAAACAAATAAAAGTATTTTCAATAATTTATAAAAATAACAAAAAATATTAAAATTTTTTAATAAAAATATTTTACAAAAAAAAAAAATTCTTCCGCAAATTATTTTACGGTTATAAAGAGTTGACTACATTTCAATTAGGAAAAAAAATAAACGGCCGGCTGGAAGACAAAAAAATAGAAGGGTAAATAGGTAATTTGAATATGGAACTGTAGCCTATAAATCAAAAATAGAGTCCCCGTACGGCAGCATATATTCGCACTCGTTTCGCGCTTCATGAGTTCTCTGTGTAAGCCTCTCTTAACTTCTCATATCTGTCTTTCTCGTTTTCCATTTCTGGAAAACAATCGGAAAAGCCCTAATCATTTCCTCGCATTTTCCCATTCTTTCTCGTCTCCAAAGCCGTAACTTTCCCGAGAAACAATCACCGACAATTTCATTACTTTTTTGTCTTCCAGGTCTCACTTCTACTGATCATGTTATTGTTAAAACTTTCAGCTTTCTTTCTTCATTTTGATTTTACGAGTTGAACTATTTAATTTTGTTTCCTGTTTACTGTACTTATCCTGGAGTGGAAGAGTCTCGGATTAATTTTTTTACTTTTATTAAACCACTTTTAATTGATATATCCTTGAAGATAGCTAGCTTTTTCTCTAGAACTTCGTCTTTCTGCCTTCTCCTGTTTAAGTTTCTTTTCGTCTTCTATTTTCTTAAACTTTTTTTTTATAAGAAATGATGATATTTTTCCAAAAATAAAAAAGCAAATTTGCGCAAAAACTTTTTTGAAAATTTTGTTTTTAAGCTTCACTCTGTTTTTACTGGATCGATCATCATAGTTTTCTCATTTTTCATTTGTTACAAACAGGCAGACATTTCCATCTAAGAGCTGCGGTTTTTGTGAATTTGTAAAATCTTGTTTCCATCTGTTAGCTTATGATTGTTGTAAGTGTAAATTCTAATATTTGTTGTTGTTTCTGTATTTCTTTTTCATAAGTAGTTAGAATTATGGCTTTGTCGAGCTTTAGCTTCTACCTTTTAGTTTCTTATATTATAATTTCATAATTTTGGTAACCATTGCTTGTTGTTGTTCCAACTTGCTTATTAAAAATTGAAAGATATATATTTTTTGAAAAACAAAATGCATGACTTTTTTTTTTTCTTGAAAAATAAAACCATAATGTTGGGATTGTTGTTGCATTTTAGTCAATTTTTCATTTTCTTTGACCAAATATGCCTTTCGTTTGTACCGTTTGCTTTTGCTTTTTAGCTATTTTTAGAGAGCAAACAAAAAGCAGCAAACGCCACAATCGATACGGAGACTTACATATTTGATTTGTTTAAGTTTTGATTGTATGAAAATTGTATACGGAGCCTTTTCCTGTTCCCCTTTCTCGCCTATATTAGGTTCTGGTGTTTTAATACTATCTTTTTGTCAACTTTGTTGCAAAATTTAGAGTTTATTTCAATTGTTTGAGAATTTTTTGGACAAAGAAGGTTCTTGCATTTCAAATTCATCTCCCTTTTGTAAAGAATGTTTTTGACTCTATTCCTTTTTGTTTATTGAATTGTTTATACTCTAAGTTGCGGTATCCATCTTCATTTTTATGGGTATTGAAGTTAATTTGAACCCATAAACAATCTGTTATATTCTGGGATTCTACTTCTTTGAGTGCATATTCTTCAAATTTATGGATTCTTTATTGAGCTAACTTCTTTTTGTTGGTCAAAAAGCTTTCTTTATTAATTTTGCTTGTTTAGCATTGGTAATACTTTAAATCAGTGAAAGACTAATTGCTCATATTTTTTCTTGTATAACAGCATGGGTACTGGGAGGAAGACAGAGACATTCACTTTGAGTGAAAAAAAGCAACAGAGGTTAACCATTAATTGTAGCTTAACTGCCAGGAATCTCAGGAAGAGTGATCTTGCGGGTGTTATCTTTGGATGCAAACATAGTACACATGCAGAATGTTTTTCTAAGAAATTGTTTGGTCGGTTTGCTCTTCCTCATATTTCTGCAGCTTAGGAAGCACATGATCTATTTTTAAATAGCATATGTGCGTAATTTCTCTGGAGTCTCACAAAGAAAATGGCATTCAATTTTTGAACAGGATTACCTGCTCCACATTATTCGTATGTAAAGAACATTGAACCTGGTTTGCCACTATTCTTGTTCAACTATAGTGACAGGAAGCTCCATGGTATCTTTGAGGCTGCTAGCACAGGACAATTGGCTATCAACTCTTCTGCTTGGACTGCAGGTGATTCAGAGAAAACCCCATATGCTGCACAGGTATTACTTGTGATTATACTATAGTTTATAGTTGGTTATGATTGTCTTTTGTATAACTTTTTCTGCTCATTTGGTTAAAGTCTAGATGTGTATTTTATTTAATCTTTGCTGTATTTGTTTTGTAGGTTAAAATTCGAATACGCATGCAGTGCCATCCCTTGCTGGAAGATCAGTTCCGGCCAATAATTGCAGATAACTATTATGAACCAAAGCTTTTTTGGTTTGAACTAGATCAGGCCCAAACAAACAAGTTGATATCTATGTTTTTGTCTTCACCTATAACTAGTGCTTCCCTCTCAAAGAAAACTGAGAAGATGAGTGCTCAATTCAAAGCATTAAGGCCCCCAAATGCAAAACGAGAATGTGGTGCTGGAGAGACATCTGCTTTAAAACTGGGGGTTTCTAATATGAATCTGGATAGCATGAGCAGTTCCACTTTGGATCCTAGCATTGGGCGTTCTTATTCTTCCACGGTGAGAAATATGAATACTTATGATGCTCCTGCAACTCAGTCTAATGTAGGATGGTTCACTTGGAAAGATCATAGTTCAAGAGAAGAAAGAGAACTGTATGCATGCTCAATTAACGATGAAGTCGCATCAAATCATAAGCAGGATGGTGTTTATCCAAATATAAACTGTGATAGCTCCTACTCTTGTGTTCTTAGATGCCCACAGAAAAAGTGGAGTGCTTTATTCAAAGAAGAAACTTGTTCTGGTGTGACAAAGGAAGTCGAAGAATTCAATCTGCCTGCTTCAGATTCACTAGATCTCTTTGATGGAGAACGGAAGTCTCCTTGTCTACCTCATTATTTGGATGAAACCAGTGAGGTTGCAAAAGCTCCAATAGATCTTGAGGAGTCTGGAAAATATGGCGAAGTTGCAAGTTCGAAACCAAATTTTGAAGTCTTTCATTCTTCTCTTGTGACTGAACCAAGTACCTCTTGTCTTCAAAACTGTGAAACTTTACCCATTGCTGGGGAAATACAAGAAAGTGAATATTTTCAGTTAGCAGCTCCGGAGGCAAAGCTTCCTTTTTCAGACAATTTCCATAATGAATGGAGCTCTTCATGCACATTACTTGGTTTGAAAGAAGAAAAACATAATTTGAAGGTTCCTAAAGAGGAGAATGCACCGGAATTACCTGGCGAAGATAAGCTCTTTAAATCAGATTATAGTTTTTCCTTGTTTTCATTTGTGTCTAGTGAGATAATGCCAACACATAATCAGTTGAAAGACACTGAAGTTCAGTCAACTAATCTCTCTTTTCCAGAAGCAGCTTTGACCTCCAGAATAAACTCTTCTAGTATTGATTCTACAGTAGCCAAGGTATTTGAGCCACTCTGATGACTCTTTAACTGCTTAAAATATTTGAATTTCTCTTTTATCTACTTACCCTTTATTATGCTGTGGTATGTTTCTGTAGTTGCTATTTGAAGTCGAGCAAATGAGGTTGTCTCAGTTCAAACAAGCCCAGAAGATCAATTCTTTAGAGCAAAATCTGGTATATATCTCATTTCTTAGGGTTGTTTCTTTTTAAACTACACACTTTCTCTGACAGTTTCATATCATTGCATATGATAGTTATGGGGTCATTGTTCTAACATATTGTTCATGGTTGGTCTCATATTTATTATTAATTAATGCTATTGAAACATGACACGCCCTTGTGAAACTTAGTTCTTCTCCTATGCTGCAAGTTTAAAGAACTAAAATGGCCTCCATTGTTATTGTTAGCTAAACCAGAGGTGAAGGCAAACGGCCCTCCGAAAAGGCTCCTACTATTATTTTTCACTTCCTATTTTCTAGTCATTAATTTTATATGTGTATTCTTGATGATTATGGTTGGATTCACTTGGGAAACTTACTTTTGTTTCCCAATTAATATTTATCAATAAAGAAAACAGACTACTTTTATTTGTTATAGAGATGTAATGTTTTTGTGCAAAATGTTAAAGTAATATTCAAGTTGGCATGAAGAATAAAGGCAAAGAAGTGATAGTTTTATGTTATAACTATTTGCAAAGCATTTTATTAGACAATCATATTTAAAAGCTTATATCATATATATCATGTTGTCTTAATGTAAAATTTGATCTTGTTAAATGTCAAATGGTTCGTTTGATAAGATATGTATATGCCCCAACTCCCACCCAAAATTATTTATGGGTTTCACTCCTGAAGTAAGCCTCCTTTATGATGCCAATTAATTTGCATGAACTTGTTAGTGTCCTTGAAATGTTGCTTCAAATGCTTGGGTCAAAACCACTATTTATGTGTGCATGCAGCACCCTTCATTGTAGAACATGTTGGGTATATGTTGGCCCTTTTTCCATGACTGTGCTGTGTATAATTTCTTGTTTTAATTCCCAAGTTGCTCAATGTTTTTCCATGAAGACTTTTTGCCTTTTTCTAATATGACATGGTGTACTTGTTTCAAAATTTGTCAATATTGCTGCACTTCTTAAAGTTTGACTCTATTCTTGGCAACTGGCATCTTCTTCTTAGCAGTTTATATTGGCACATTTTGAAAATACAGGCTTTTGTTAGTATTCTTTTACCAGTTTATATGAGTTCAGGTTCAAATAGTAACATACAATTTTGGTTTCGATATCAAGCATTTTTAATATACTGGTCTCTCAAAAATTCGTGTTATAATTTTAGCTTGATATGTGTGTATGCTTTAACTGGAGTAAGGGCAAAAATATATATGCTGAGTTTCTTAAATAGTGAACTTGATGGGGAGAGCAAATTTGAAATAAAAGCAATTTGGCATTTCAGGTTGAATCAAGATTAGAAATCCAACAACTCAAAGACCAGTGCAGGATGTTGGAAACTGGGTTTGTGGCAAGGTGTGTTGAGGCAGATGATTTAGAAGGAGAGGAGTATCAGTCAGTGGATGACCAACCTTATCCGGCTTGTGATGGATCAATATGTCTGGTGGGAGGATTTGATGGTTGTTCATGGTTGTCTGCTTTGGACATCTATTCTTCTTCACAAGACCTGATGAGAACCTGGACTTCAATGAGCTTTGTTCGCTCATATGCTTCGGCAGCAAAATTTAATGACGAAGTTTATGTTTTAGGTGGTGTAGATGGTAATTTATGGTATGACACAGGTATGATTTTTCTCTTTGTGGCTTTTTCGTTTGTGCAAATACTTTCAATGTTAACAAGCTGATCATGCTACTGTGTTTGTTGTCTTTAGTTGAATCATACAACCCAGTAAGCAATCAGTGGACTAGTCATCCCCCATTAAAACAAATGAAAGGAAGTTTTTCTGTACTTTCTTTAAAAGATAGCATGTTTGTTTTTGGAGGTGGAAACGGAGTTGAATGTTTCTCAGAGGTAGAAATGTTTGATCCAAACATTGGAAGGTGGATTCCTATTCAATCACTACTACATAAGGTATTTTTTAATGATTGCTTTATTTATTTATTTTTTTTGCTTCTTCTTCTTGCTGGTTGAAGTTGTTCTTGCTTTGAAAGCTTTAAAGAGAGAATTTGGCTTTGGCTTTCTCTCTTTTCTCTCTCTCTCTTTTACGTTATGTTATTGGATGCTTGTATGTACTGATATATCCCATGCCTTGGGTTGCTTGCAATTAGTTGGTAGCTTATCAACTATAAAGAGGCTGACTAGACATTGTGGAGAAAATATAAAACTCTATGTTGCTCTCTCTGTTTCTCATAAAACTTTAAGTGCTACCATCATGATATTAATTTTTCCTAATCTACTAACTAATAATACATTTTTGTTTTTAAGAGATTTGCTCCAGCTGCAGCGGAAGTCAATGGGATACTTTATGTTGCTGGAGGATATAATGGAAAAGATTATTTGAAGTAAGTAGTTGTTTGGTGTTGATAGTCAGAGTCGTGCACACGTTCATTATTCATGTATATGATTATCCATGCAGAATCAAACATTCTAAGAGTTTTTTCAAAAAAGAAAAAATGAAATAAAAAACAAATTGTAAGTGTTTTACAACCAGAATTTACTCTTGTATTTATAGCCTTTTATAATATGCTTAATATATTTAATATTATTCAAGGTTAGCTATATCTCAACCTTTTTGCCCTCTAATGTGGCATTAGATTGGGGCTCTTACTGCCGCCTGCCTTTTCTTGTGGGGTAAAAGGGACGGGGAGGAGGTGGTGGGTAATTGATGAAGGGCTGTTAAAGTGTTTCAGGTTATATACCTGCTTTAGTTGTGAAAATATATTGGTATGCTGATTTAAAGCCTTCCTATCCTTAAACATCTAAGTCATGCAGAGAGTCCTTGAACATCCATGAAAATTATCCAAGCCTTAGTTATAATGAAATTTCCAGTTCGCTTTGTCCTGAACTTGCTACAATTATATTAATGGTACAGAATAGAGGTGTATGAACAGCCTGAGCAGTAATAGGAAAGTGGCAATGACTTGTTTCCTTATGCTTGTAAATATGCTTTTTTGCCAATTTTTTACATCATATAATCCAGAAGGCCTTATTTTGCTGTGAACTTTTCACCAGTTTTCAATGGTTCTTGTTATATTGATGCATCAAGGGTCACTTTTTGTTTTAAATCATTGACTCTTTGCTGAAGAGGAAAGGAATCATACCTCACATTCAGGTTCTATTGTATTTATCTGATGGGTTTAATTTCAATAGAAATGATGTAGTTATTGTAGGATTGAGTTTTGGAGGCTTGAAAGTAGGCAAGCAATAAATAAGAAGAGCATTCAGTAACTTGATTTTTTCCTATTGTCCTCAACTCATACACAAGGAGGTTGGTCCTTTCCATCAGTCATAGAGTTAAGCTTAGATTTTTATGTCGACTTAAAGGGAATCAGATAAAATATATAATAAGAAGTCAAAAACCAAATATAATCTCTTATCTACGTTCTTTTGCCAATTATATATAGTCCAAACTACTTTGGTCCTATATTCTTGGGCTTTTTTCATGATTGATTTACTGATATGTTTCATCTACTATCTCAGATCAATTGAGAGATTGGATCCTCGAGAACATTCATGGGAAAAACTTGAGGGCATGGCTACAAAGAGAGCGTGTCATTCATTGGTTGTGCTGAATGAAAAATTGTAAGTTGATTTTCTTGAGGTGGCTTTTGGTATGGGGTGATCACCCAACAACCAATGTGAACTACCCTTTGTGATTAGATCACCATGTTTGTTAAGAACTTGATGATCCTACATTGCAGTGATCTTAGATCACTGTAGTGATTAGATAAATTTCTTTTGGATCATCTAAAATCGAACTAAAAGGGTGAGGGAATTTTCTATTGGAGTGTGGTGATACATGAAATTAACTTACGGACAGGACAATTTTACCCTTGTAATTGTATATAAAAAGATTGTATTTTCTTTGTTTTACAAAATTTTTGTTCTTTAGCAAATAATTGTTGGTTTAATAGATACAATTTCTTTTTTCTTATTTAAAGAGAATATATAATTTATAATTAAAAGTTTATTTAAGCTATTAACTTAAATTTAATTTTGATTGCATATTTGAGTCATACATTATCTAATAAAAATTAAATAATAGAAATATTATTTTTTAAATATAATATTAAAAATATTGACTTTTAATTGTTATAACATGGTTATGTTGGGTATATTATATTAAATGATTTTTGATTTCACGTGGTATCAAACACGGTGATTTTGAAATGTCATTGATAAAATTGTCATAGTAATAAAATCATTTAGATCAACATGGTCATCGGAGACTAATACCAAACAGTATCTGAATGCCGTCTAGATCATTTGTTTTTTGCATCTATTTTCCCCTTAGATCTAGAAAACAATGTCCAGTATAAAAATTACATTACCTTTGTATCAAATTCTAATAATGGAAAATATGTTTTTAGATATGCTATAGGTGGCTTTGATGGAACGAGAATGGTCTCAACAGTTGAGGTCTTCGACCCTCATGCTGGTTCATGGATGATGGAGGAGTCCATGCGCAATTCAAGGGGATATTTTGGCAGTGTTGTGATTAGAGATGAAATACATGTTATTGGCGGGCTGCAAGGTGAAGAGGAAGTTCTAGACAAGGTGCATAACTATCCCAAATTTTCCAGTTATAAATGTTAAAGAAATGGGGTTTCTTTAACACTTCCAAAATTTCATTGGGGTGATGACAGGTAGAAACTTACAAAGTTGGTCATGGGTGGCAAGTGAAAAATTGGAAGGCCATGGGGAAAAGATGCTTCTTCTCGGCGGTCCTTTTATAAGAAGGAATCGGTATGCCTGTTTTTGTCCATACAATCATGTTCATATGCGCAAGCTTAGTCTGTAAGTGGATGTTAGTACTATTACGATGTGTAGTTTTGCTAATGTATAGAGATCACAAGTAAAGGTGGGATAAGGTTTAAAGATCTTAAGCTTGGCTAACATAGTAAAGGTGGGATAAGGTTTAGAGATTAAGTTTGAGCTTGTAGTGTTGTCTTTCTTTTTCTTGTAGACGACAAGCAGAGTAATGGGCAACTTTAACTGGTATTATAAATTGGCGACACTAAAAATGCACTAAAGTTAGTGTACTAACTTGTATGCCAAATGAATCTACAATTTCAACATGATTAATGTTTAAACATGCTAATTAAAGTTGTAAGGTGTGACAATTATTCATATTTCGTTGCATAACATTGATTAATCCTTCCATTTTGAATTGGTTATAAAAAAATGTTTGTTATACCTTTTATGATACTTGCCAATTATTACAAGGGTAGAAAGTAGTGCTAATGGAGTTTGTTTACAATAAGGTCACAATATATAAACTTTACTATAAAGTTAAAAAAATATCGTGATATCACATTCAAAATTGAATGATATCATGAGAAATTGAAAAATATTAAAATCCAAAAACAACAAAGAAAATGATTAAACAAGTTGACAGGTAAATGGAAAAGTAATGTAAATATATTTTTATTTGTTTCATTCATTTAATAAAAGTGATAAATACTTTGTTTTATCTATTTTATATTTATTTTTATTGATTTTTACAAATAGATGTATAACAATTAAAAATTTAGTATAATTAAGTCATATCTTACCTGTTGTAATAATATATTTTTTTATTTTAGTTATTATTTTTTATTTACATATCAAATTATACAATAACAATCATAGTAATTGAGATTAACATTAATTATTACATTTTATAGGGTAATTTATTTTAAACAATAAGTACTGACTTTAGCAACATAGTAAAAAGTGATAGAAGTGATCATGTAAATAATTAATATTTTATCAAAAATAGGTAAGTGGTAGTATTTTTATTTTTCTTAGTAATTAAAAATATATATATACAAAATTTGAAAGTTTAAACAAATACATTAAATATTTATGTTTATTTATGTTTATTTTGATCTAAGAAGTTAATATTTGCTTCAGTTTAAGAAGTTAATTTTTTTTCAAATACTTTTAAGTTTATTTGTTTATGTATTTTACTTATTTATGTTTAAACTATAATTAGATTATTTTTATTGTTACCTTCAAGTTCATTAAAATCATAATAATTTATTTTAAATTGATTACGACACTTTTATTTATTTTACACCAAATGTTATGTGTGTTTATTCTTATTTTCTTATGTTTATGTTAAACTTTTAAATCTTTTATTTTTTAACATGAAAATTTTATTTAGCATGTAAAGCTATATATTTTGTTTAAGAATTCACGGTAGCCAGTTCAAGGGATAGAAATTATTTTAAAATATTTAAAAAACTAAATTTTGAGTATTTTATTTTGTGATAAATAATATTATTTTTTACTTTTATTTTTACACATTTATGTTAAGATTTGAAGAAAACTAGTTTCAATTTTAAGATATATTTTACATATTTATCTTGAAGTATAATTAGGTTATACTTGTTACTTTTTACTATGTTTTAAATCATTATAATTTATTTTAGGTTAATTGCGACACTTCTTATCTATTTTAACTTAGATTTTATACATTTTATCTTGTACTCACAGTTTACTTTAAAATTTTTAAAAAAATTATTTTTTAACATTAATATTTTATTTTAGTGTGAAATTATATTTTTTATGTAATAATTTTGGAGTAGTTAGTTTGAGAGATACAAATTATTTAAAATAAAAATTTTAGTTTTTTATTTTATGATAAACGATATGACTTTTTATCTGAATTCTTATTTATTTACGTTAAACAATGATAAGGTTATACTTATTGTTACCATCCATTATGTTTAAAATCATTATAATTTATGTTAAGGTGATTACAAAACTTTTTCTTCATTTTACATAAATGTTACATTTTTTTTTATCTTTATATTCACATGCTTATGTTAAAATTTATAAAATAAAATTTAATATTAACATTTTATTTAATTACGCGAAATTATATTTTTATGTAACAATTTTGATGACTTTATTCTAACTTTAGATTAAGGCTTTAAGAAGGCTAATTTCAATATACGGTTCATCGTACTTTGTTAACTACAATCAAGTTATACTTATTCTTAGAGGTGACCTAATGACTTATATTTATCAATTGTATAATAAAAAGCAAAAGTCAATGGACTATATTGATGATTATGAATCCAACTATTGGTATCTAATAACATGAGAGTAAGATCATGAAAGCCAAATTTACTGTTGAAGTTGCATACTATTACTGTTGAAGTTGCATACTATTTCATACTGTTGAACTTAATTGTCGAACTTGTTATCAAAAAAGAAAACAATAAACTATGTCAAACTAAACCTTCCATGTATTAACTGTGCAAATTGTGTTTGCATAACACGGATACTAAGGTCTGATTTGAATTAAAATGAAGGATAAATATAAAAAAAAAATTCCAATAGATCATACATACAAATAAATAAAAGCTCCGCGGCTAGCATTAGTGTCTAAATCAAAATCCAACTACGAATTTAATACAAATCATTAAAAAAAGTTATATAGAGTTCATTAGTTCATTAATTACTTTTAAATTTGGTAAATTTAAAAAGCACTTGATCAGATTAAATTGCATAATTGCAGGTGTCGGGTTTCTCATAAACTTTAAAGACCTTTAAGTTGAAATTGCCAAATTTTAACTGTAATTGAGATCTCCTTGAAAAGACTTTAATGAAGTGTTGTGCACCATTATTTTCTATTTCGGTACATTTAAAATTCTATTGAGTTAAGATAAAATAATAAGAGATTGTCTTCTCTCATTTGGTAAGCTCTGATCTAGTGCCTAACACTTCAAACCTGATAGAGATTTTTCTTTGAGAACCACCGATTGCTTTTCATGAGACAATGCTAACAATATAGGATTTCAAAACCTCTCAGCTACTTTCACTAATTGAATCTACAATGGTAGGACATCTCTTGGAGATTTAGTATTTTTGATTAACCAGACTGTGATGGCTATCGGGGACTTGAAGAAGGAATGCCAGATATATGATTGAATTCATTTCAATAAGGAATAGGCTGTTCTATATGTGTGATTTGCAAGTACTGAACTTATTAATCTACAATCTTTTAATGGTGATAGAACTAATCTTGAAATCTAGATATATTTTCTTGGTATTTCCTTTGGTCCCTTGGGCATTCAAGATTCCAACTTTGTAGAACTCATGGTAATTAGAAATGCAGTTCAATTATTTTTCTCTCCATCATTGGTTGGTACGAAGCAATTGATCATTAAGTCTGACTACAAGACGGCGTTGTCATGGATATGTAATGTTGTGCTAAAGCCATGGGAAAGATAACATTTATTAAATGAAATAGATAGCTAGAGCAATTTAATCAGTGACATTGTATTTTTGTCCATACATCTCGTGAAGGCAACTTTTTTGCGAACTCTCTTCTCAAATTTGGAGTGGATCATATAGAGATATTTTACACATGGTGGTAAAGTTTAATTCATGTTGGGTATCTTTTATTTTTCTGAACTGTTCCAGATTTGTTGAGTCTGTTCTTGAGGAGATGCTGTATTGTTTTCTCCTCTATGGTGTGATGCAATGTGTTTTATGGGGTGATGTGTTGCTATATGGGCTGCTATTTTACTGTTTCTGTTCTGATCTCTTCTTATTGATTGGTATTAGTTCGATACATAATAAAATTATTTTTGATTGAGCAAAAAAAAAAACATTTACAAAATCTGAATTAAACAAGGATATCTAAACCCCTTAATTTTTTTCTAAAAAAGAACCTCCATAAATTTATAGGGGACAGGAAGCATTTGAAAAACTACTTATTATTGCCTCAATTCAAATCATATTTGTAGATAACCATCAGCTTATCAGTAGCCCTTTGGGGATGGTGGTGACATGTAATAATAAAGAGGAGTCTTGATTGGTGGAGCTGGTGAATTATAGTGGAATGGAGGATGTTCATAGTGTAATGGGGATAGGTAAGAAGGCTTGTAATGGTGGGAAGGGGGAGGTAATGGAG